GCCACCTTTTTATCTTCTAATTGTTAATAGTTTAACATAGTATTAATTTGGGCACAATCTTCAGCTATTTATTGGTAATAAATAGTTAATATATCTTTCTAGTACAATTGAGAGATGTAATTTGTTTTATTGATCAAATTTATATGGTGCCTATCTCACTGTAGCACTAAGATTAAAGTGTAAAACTAAGTTCAGTTGTATTGATTTCTCCTAGATTTAAAGTTTTAAATATTGTCATTATATAAGTCTGCATAATTCTGGCCTGAAATCCCTAATTTATTATTAAAGGTGAGATCGAATATATTTAATATAACTTCAATCCTGAAATTAATTTGTATTTATTTAGAAGGAAAATCTCTGGTCTCTCCTGAAAGACATTCAGAAATATCAGTTTTCTTGAACTGTCCTTGTTGGTTTGTGGAGATATCTGAGAGAAGAGGTGGCAAATTTTGACATAGAAGAAACAGAGAAAAGACAATAAAAAAATAATAAAAATCCCTACTTATATAGCATATTGAAATGAGACCACAGAATAATATTGATCAAACTTCCCAAAACATTGCGAGGAAGCTAGTTCCTAAATAGACAGTGAAAGCATAATTCAACCAAGGGTTTAAAATCTGATGTAACAAAAACTTTCCACTAGAGTAAAACAGAATTGTTAGTAGTCTGCAGTCAAGCATTTCAGACTTTTAGAATACAATATAGTTCTCAGCTCAGGAAGCTCAAACTGCCCAAGGAGCTGCTGATATAGTTCTACAGAGGAATTATTAAGTCTGTCATCTGCACCTCTAGAACTGTCTGATTTGGCTCTGCAACTCAACAGGACAGACACAGACTTCAGAGAGAAATTAGGACTGCAGAAAAACAATTACTTCCAATCTGCTTTCCATTGAGGACCTGTATACTACACAAGCCAAAAAGAGGGCTGTGAAAATATTTACAGACCCCTCACATCCTGGATATAAATTGTTTTAACTCCTACCCTCAAACAATGCTATAGAGCACTGCACACCAGATCTAGGCTCAAGGTCAGTTTTTTCCTGAATGCCATCACTCTGTTAAACAACTAATTCCCTCAAAACTGTCAGACTATTTACTAAGCCTGCATTACTATTACTATTAATCCTCCCATCCTTCCTTTTACCCATCTCCTCCCACTTATGACTGTAACCTTGTTGCTTGTATCCTAACGATTTTTATTGACTGTTTCCTAGTATGATTTGATTACTTATTGTACCCTATCACTATTATTAAGTGTTGTGCCTTATGATTCTTGATGAATCTTTTCTTTTATGTGCACTGAGACCATTTGCACCAGGACAAATTCCTTGTGTGTCCAATCACACTTGGCCAATAAATAATTCTATTCTACTCTACTCTACTCTACTCTACTCTACTCTACTCTATTCAGCATCTTGTTGAAAACTTTATGACTGTGAAACCAAAACAATACATCTGTACAAGACTATAAGGTATAAACCAGTTATTGTTACCTATTCTTTGGAGTATTCTATAAATATTAACAAAGCTGATTTATTTCTTAGACTAGTTCCAGACTTTTATTCTATGTATGATGAAGTTTCCCTGAGTAATATTTTTCAACTGTATGTAAAAATTAAATATAGATTTGGAACCTCCAAAATATCCCTATATTATTAATTATTTAGGACTTTCAAATACTTTTAATGCATTGAGCTCAAACTATAAATCAGAATATTTTAAGTGATTATACCCAGCCATTCCTTTTTAAGCATATCAAATGTCCAAAAGATTAACTATAAGCTAATGTCAAAGTACAATGTCATTTTTTATGCCCAAGAGCTTTAGAACTAGCTTATAAACCATTATCCCCATATCAATTTCTCATGAAATTTAGGAACAAATTTAATTTATCCTCCTTCCATGATCCATAAACTGTTGATGCAACAACAATTAATAATGAAAAGGACTAAATCCCTGCCAGAATATCAATAGTATAAAATAATAACTGTCTTGATATGTCTGTGTTATTTTGAAATGAATTGCTTAAATTTGTCAAAGAAATAAAAGTCAAAATGTAATACTATAACAGAACTAGAAATTATAAAAGAATTATTACATGGAAGTCATAAGTGAGGGAAAAATCTAGCAGTATGAACAACCTATGGAAATTTTCTAAGTATTTCATTGATCAAGTTAAAATATATACCTTGTTTTGTAGTTTATATATTGTCATTATAGCTTTTTTATTCTGTCTTTGCTACTTTGTTAGCAGTTTTTAAAAAATGAAAATTATATATGTCTTTTATAAAGAACATAACATAAAAAATCTCCAGAGTATCTGCACTGTAAAATAAAGATTAAACAAGGTAATGATGTGTGTGGAAATAGCTGCATTAGTTAAGCTATGTAAGTAAATAGCTAGCTATGGTGGCCTTCAGGTGTTGGTGGTTATAATATATATCTGAAATGCAAAACAGGCCTCAAACCTTGTAGAGAAGACTATAAAAATATGTCAATGACAAATTAATATACTTAAAAATACAAGTTTATGGCATGTAAAAGGCTATGCTTCTAATCATGGCCCCTTTCCAATTTCCAGACAGTAATTGAAATGCAAGATTATTTCTAAAAGAGAGATGCAAGTTAATTATGAGTTTAGCCACAACCTTCAATATTAGATAATAAGCTATTAATATCATATTATGGGACATTATACATTGGGAAGTGAATCCACGCAAAATTTGACAGCTTCTAAAGTCTTTCCCTAAACTGGGCATTCTCCAAACAGAATGGCACAACTCACCATAGCCGACTTGCCATGGCTAACTCACCATGAGACAACTCCCTGCAGGATAACTCAACAATTCAATTTAATTATTTAAAATAAATAACATATTCACATTCCATTCTGTCCCTCTTTTTGCATCCTGCCTTTAATGATTCTATCCCACCATTTCTTGAATATTAGTGTAACTCTTGTTCCCGCAAGAGTCCCATGGCTAGTTGGCCATGATAAGTTGGTTGTGGCGAGTTGGCTATGGCAAATTGTCATAGACCCTTCTCCAGATGTATAGATTCAGACTGGAGAATGTTGAGATTTGAGGTTCCTATCTCTGGAGAGAAGGATTTCTTCAGGTAGAGAAGGATTTCTAAGAGACAGCCGTCACAAAAAAAGAAATAGAAAATTCCAAAACCTACTGCGCTTCAAGAGGAAGGAAATAATAGAAAGTGGAGAAATGTCTGCAAATTTAGATGCCCATAGAGAAGAAGAATTACAAGCCCTGACCCTCTTGAAGACAAATGGTATGGCTCATACGAGAAAGAAATAACCTTTTAAACAGTCCATTCCACCAGGGTGAGCTTCAAAAATTTTACCAACGGGTTCTCTTCCTGGTTGCTGGGTGGGGGTGGCCATGGTGGGGGTGGCCTGGTCAGCCTCCTGCACACAATGGGGAGGGCGGTTTTGCCCTTCCTGGGCTCCGGAGCCTTTTCTTGAGCCTCCAGGAGGATGAAAACAGCCTTCTGGGTTCCAGAGACTGTCTGGAAGCCGGAAATGGGCCCGATTCTGGCCTTCCCAAACTTCCATTTTTTGCCGTCTCCAAGCCTCCGTGAGCGGCCTGCACTTACCTGTATCCAAAATGGGGCATGTGGGGACCCTGGGAGGGGCTGGGTGGGATGGGAGGAGCCAGCCAGGAATGGGATTTGGGGGTTCTCTGAACTGTGCAGAATCTTAGCTAGAAGATCTCCCAAATTCCTGTGAAACTCCAGCAGCCCACCACTGCATTCAACCCAATTTTCTAGATTTGCGGGACACAAACCGTATGCCAACAATGGGTTTGAAGAATTTGGTTAAAATGTGACTGGTGTCATAATGTAATGTCATAGTGTGTTTCATGGGCATAGCCTTAGTAGCAATTAGGGGTTTGTGGCGATGAAAGTTTATCAGGCTTACTGGGAAATTTTTATTTTATTATTTGTTTAAGGCAAATGGGAAGAGCTTGTATGTATGGTAGCAAATCCTACATCCTACATACGGGCTTCATGGCAGAGAGGGAGCGATGCCTCAACAGCATAAACAAATGACACTGTCACATTGATGTGAGAAGACAACACCTCTTGCAGATTATTTTCTCTTCGGGTCATGGCTCCGAAAACAGAACAGCCTTTTACTGTATTTTATCGTCCCAACCAGTTATTTTAGGTTTTAATGTTATAAATGCTTAATCTCTGTTCTTGCTTGATATGCTGTCTCTACACAACTTGAGTTGCAGAGTTTTCATTTGCCCAAAGACTTCGTATCTTTTCTGAAACATCTTCCAGACATTTGGAAGAATAAGCAGCCTACAGACTTTTGATGATGGTAATTGATGGCTGAGAGGCTTGATCTGTCTTCTTTTCCTTCTTGATGATAGATAAATGGCACTTCTTTAAGGCCTGTCTTGATTGCTGGTGATTCCCTCCCCCCCATTATCTGTCTGTTTTCAGAGATCAGTGCTGAAATTAAACAGTCCACAGGTTTACCTTGCTTAGAGCCATGGCTTGGAGAATTGTTATCTGCCTCTAAATACAATTTAAACTTTCTGACAAGTATTTCTTCACTGGATCTTGACCAGAGCTGCGTCCCAAGGACAGATCTAATATAAATCTAGATTTGAGATGGAGAGTAGGGACTGCTTTCCTAAGTTGTCTTTCACTAAAGAAGTCTCTTTGCCCAGGTGGCCTAGCATTGGGTGCCTTCCCTAACACCTTAGAACAAAGTCTTAAAAGAAATACTTTGAGGAAGAAATAATAAATTTGGGGCATTTCACAACATGCTTGCCCAGCATGTTGAGGTACCCTATTTTTGGCCCCTGTCCCAAAGTCTGTTTAGGCCGCACCAACCTCCTGCTCTGCCTTTTCCTTAAGAAGCAGGCGAAGGAGCCCCACAAGGTGTTCGGGGAGGGACGTAGGGAGGAAGGGAGGGACGCGTAACCTTTGAAACCTTGCCAGGCGCGCGAGTCGCATTCTCACTTCAAAGTCGGTGCAGCGCTGGAGAGAAGAGCGACGCGCAGGCATCTCGGACTCTCGCCCTCCACCGGGCGTGCTAGGCGGCGATGCTTCCTCGGCAGATTCCCGAGTTCGGGATGACGGTGGCGGGCGGCCGCCAACGCTGCTGCAGCAGCAGTCCAGCAGCACGTAAGTGGCCGGGCGCGCTGGCAACTCCTGGCGCTTCTTGAGATTTGCTGGGCTGTAAACTCCCGGGGTGTGTGGAGACTTTGGGGGGGACGGGACACTCATCTTTCTTCCACCACCCCCGGTTTGCAAACTAGCCTTACTGTTGCGCAATTGCCAACGATTCCAGCCTGGCCTCTTCCTAAGTTTTTGGCCGCAGTTCTGGAGCGAAATGGGTTGCCTGCTTCTTTTCTGTTTCTTCCTTCGGTCTTTCTGAGATCCAGGAGAGGGTGCGGTTACTAATCGCACGTGCGTCCAGATTTGGACTTGTTGTTACTGGGGGGAGGGTGTCTTCTTCCCTCCCGCCTCCCCGTTCCTAAATTTACAAATTTGGGCGCCAGATTGCCCGGCTCAACCGCCTAGCTGAAGCGGTGGACCTTCTGATGGGAAGTTGTTTTCGGGAAGGGGGGGCGGGGGGCGCAGATGTAACTTTTGTGCCAGTCCTCCTTTTCTTGGAGCCGTCCTGCTTGTAGGTGGAATCGCAGTTGCTGAGTTCACGGCACTGGTTTTCCTAGTACCTCGCAAGTTTGGAAAGAGCAGCCTGATTTGGAGAGGGTGTTTCCTCCGCTCGAAGCAGCGCCTTTTCCAGCTGTCTGGCGTTGGATGAGCCAAGGGGTATGTCTGTTGGACGGGACTGAAGCTTTCTGAAGTATTCATAACTAGGTATATTACAGGCTTGGCCTGGCCACTAACTAATCAACCACAGTTTGGGTCAACAGGATGCGGGTGCTAAAATTAATCCCTGGAATTACCGTAGGTAGTTTAGGCAAGGTCATATCAGAAAACTGGTTACTTTGATAAACCAAGTTAAGCATGAATATCTGTGTAATGCGAACACAGCTGTGGAGTGTCCAGTCATGTCTGAATAAAAGACATAAGTGTAAATCTTGGATTTTTCTGTATCTCCTCCCGGGTTACCCTCAAAACAGCCCTGCTAGGTAGGGAGAACTAATGCAGGGAAATGTCCAAGAATCTTTTTTAAAAGAGTGAGCTATAGCTTTCTTCTCTTAAAGAGACATTAGTATTGACTGCTTGACGTTTTGTTTCTTGGGTTGTACTTGTAACTCCATTATTTGGTAAATCTGTTTTCTGTGATTTTTTTTTTAAAGAAACTTTAAGCATTTGGGACATGCTGAACTATGCTTTTATTCCTGGAAATGTTCACCAGACATCTCTTTAACCAATAATATTAACAACAAATAATAACAGTAGTTGGTAGAAATTTGAACCTGATACTGCCCATTGTTAGTTTATAACAATGAGTAGTATCAGCTTCAAATCTCTAGCAAGTTCCTGTGGATTGCCAGGGAATTCCTAGGAATCTAAGCCAGATTTAGGAACAGGGACAATCTGGAGTGCCAATTTTGAGAGCGGTACTTGTTACTGGTACTTAAATATAATGTCAAGGTAATGTGGCTTGATAGATCCTGAGTCTCTTTCCCCCATAAGCGGCATAGTACACAATAGAAGAAATCACGCACCCATCAGAACTTATTGCAAAAAAGATAATTGTCCAGAATCCAGAAAGATCCAGGTTCAAGGCTAGGTTGAAAAATGGGGGGGGGGGAGGGGAAAGTGCAGGCAGAAGCAGTAGCGTAACGTATTATCTGTATACTTTTGCCAGGAAGACAATGTTGATGTGCAATACAATTATTTTAACTTGAATATAAATACTGAGGGTACTTTTCACCTGGGACCATTTGATCTAGGCTTGTCATTGATTCTCTATTAGAAAGTTGATATTCAGTCTTAGCTTGTGCCCATCTTAAGAAGTAAGGTAAGAACCATCATCCACTAAAGGCCCTTTTCCCCACTAGTTCTGCCAAAACATTTGCTGGCAGATGGGCTAATAGAAGACATTTAATCTCACAGCTTTTTCTATTGTAAATACATTTTTTAAAGTAGTTATTTGACCTAAATACATCGTATTTTCCACTCTGGTGGTACTGAAGGTAGCCAACAGAAATGATATTTTATAAAAAATCTAAAAAGTTTTTTTTAAAAAAAGAGTCTTAATATTGTAGCAAATATTTAATGTATTAATTCAAAGAATAGAATAGAATAGAATAGAATAGAATAGAATAGAATAGAATAGAATAGAATAGAATAGAATAGAATAGAATAGAATTCTTTATTGGCCAAGTGTGATTGGGCACACAAGGAATTTTGTCTTGGTGCAAATGCTCTCAGTGTACATAAAAGAAAAGATACATTCGTCAAGAATCATAAGGTACAACACTTAATAATAGACATAGGGTACAATAAGCAATCACATCATACTAGAAAACAGTCAATATAAATTGTTAGGATACAAGCAACAAAGTTACACACACACAGTCATAAATGGGAGGTGATGGGTGATAGGAACAATGAGAAGATCAATAGTAATGCAGATTTAGTAAATAGTTTGACAGTGTTGAGGGAATTATTTGTTTAGCATACAGCATGACAGATGACCTGTCTCTTAGATTTTTCCTGAAACTGGGAAATTACTGCAATTTCTAAATAATGTATTTCCAAATTAACCCAGGAGAAGGAACTTCCCATTTGCCACAAAAAAGGAGCCTCCAAGGGCAGGAACATCTCCAAAAGAGTCTTCCCTGGAGAGCTTCCTGGCTGGATAGGTTCCTAACACGAGAGTTAAAGGTCAAGACCAACTCCTTAAGATATTTATTTATTTATTTGTTTGTTTGTTTAGTCAAGCAATTATAAGATAACAGGTATAAGTATAAACATGGTTATAAATACATGAAATGGGTACATATAAGAAAAAATAAAAGAAACAATAGGACAGGGACGGTAGGCATGTTGGTGCGCTTATGCACGCTCCCTACAGACATCTTAGGAAAGGGGTGAGGTCAATAGACAGTCTAAGGTTAAAGTTTTGGGGGTTTGGGGAAGGAACCACAGAGTCAGTTAGAATATTCCAGACATTGACCACTCTGTTGCTGAAGTTGTATTTCCTGTGATCAAGTTTGGTGCTGTTTACCTTGAGTTTGTATCTATTGTTTGCTCTTGTGTTGTTATGGTTGAAGCTGAAGTATTCATTGACTGGTAGGTCATTGCAATGTATGATTTTATATACTATACTTAGATTGAACCGAAGGTTCTGGTAAAATGAATAAAATAAAATGAATAAAATGTCTGGTAAAATGAAATCTTATGGAGGCTTTGGAGCAGGGGTCCCCAAACTTGGCAACTTTAAGACTTGTGGACTTCAACTCCCAGAATTCTGAGGAAAGCTGGCTAAGTTGAAGTTGAAGTCCACAAGTCTTAAAATTGCCAAGTTTGGGGACCCCTGCTTTGGAGTGTAGTGATGAAAGCACATCAAATTCTGCCATACTGAACTGCAGTGTTGTCAGTTCTGTGGCTTCAAGATGGTTAACATATTTGGGTCCAAATGTAGAAAGTCAATATGGATCCCTGCTTTGCTCCTCTGAAGGGAAACAAATACTTAATAGAGCAGCATATGACTTTCAATAGTGGAGTTTTGGAACATGTGGAGGCAGGTGTAACTCATCTTTTTTTGCCTAATTAGAGCAGCTGTGAGTCTGGCAATAGGCACAACTGCTTTTGTCTTTCAGAAAGAGGAATTTCAGTACACAGCCCTGCACCTTCCAAAGTTCAAATCCCTAGCACCGCATAATGGAGTGATTTCCCATTACTTGTCCCAGCTTCTGCCAACCTAGCAGTTTGAAAACATGTAAAAATGCAAGTAGAAAAATAGGGATCATTTTGGTGGGAAGGTAACAGCGTACCGTGCACCTTTGGCGTTTAGTCATCCCAGCCACATGACTATGGAGACGTCTTCAGACAGCGCTTGGCTCTTCGGCTTTGAAACGGAGATGAGCACCACCCCCTAGAGCCAGAAACGATTAGCATGTATGTGTGAGGGGAACCTTTACCTTTAATTATATTCTACATGGGGCAGGGAGATTAAATAAAGTTTGGACCGAAAGTAAACCATTCAGTCGCACAGTTCTAGAACCTCCACTGAATGCTAAGACTTAGACTACAACATGCGAAATCAAGATCAAGGAGAACACTGGGGAATGATTGCAGATAGTCCTTGTGCAGCAGGTAACTAAGGGGACATAACTTTCAAATAATTTGGAATGCTGATATCTCTCCTTTGTAGCCAAAAACTGCATATTGTAGTTTCTCAAGCTTCTGAACAGGGTGGATTTGATTTAAATCAAGTCAATTTAAAATCACGATTTAATCATGATTTAAATCACTAGTAAAAAGGCTTGATTTAAATTTAAAAAAATGTAAAGAGCAGCTGTCATCTCTGTCCCGCAGCGGCTCCTCCTCTGATCTGCTGTTGACTCACCAACAGACCCAGTATTACAGAATATACAGCCTCATGCTACACAATTAAGCTCTATTTCATGCTGAATAAACTAAATTATTAATGTATCTTAGATGGGAAATTGTTTTTAGATAGATATTTACTCCAAAAGCATTTTATTAAAATAAATTTGATAAAAATAAAAATAATAATCCAATTTAAATTTTTAAAAATCCAATTTTTTGTAATTTTTTTTTTAAAAAAACATTTTTTTTATCCATCCTGCCTCTGAAGCATAACTACCCAGGCTGGGCATCCTCCTTCTTGAAGTTCATCCATCTGGGGAAGACTAGAATAGAATTCTTTATTGGCCGAGTATGATTGGATGCACAAGGAATTTGTCTTTGGTGCATATGCTCTCAGAGCAGAGTTGGTATTCAGTGGGTTCTGACCAGCTCTGGAGAACCAGTAGCGAAAAAATTGAGTAGTTCAGAGAACCGGCAAATACCACTTCTTATTGGCCCCGCCCCCATCTATTCTCTGCCTCCCGAGTCCCAGCTGATGAGCTGGGTCTTCTTTTGTTGCCCGGGACAGGAAAACGGAACTGGAAAGCAGGTTAGTGGGGTGAGGAGGGAATGGGAACTAAGCAACTAAGCCACGCCCACACAACCGA